CAGAGTTGCCAAGTTCTGCTCTCTCACCAGAACGTGAAGCCTCACCGGAGAAGGAACCAGACACTGACTTCCATACCATCCTGCAGAAGCAGTTTGATAGAGTCTTAGCATGGAGAAGATGGAGAATGGGACCTCTCCAGAAAATAATTCAGTATTTTGATGCTTATGAAGAAGAAGAAGCTGCAGTTCTTCATTGGGTAGGCACATAAGATGTGTCTCAATGCCTTGATCTTGCATTTCTGATAGATGTTCTTCAGAACAAGAAGGAGAAATACCAAGGCAAAGCACCTCTGATCGTAGACTCACCAGAGACGCATGTCAAAGCTCTGGAAGAGCATGAAATAGCTGACTTCGATGAATGGCTAATGGAAAAGAAGAGGAAGGAATCTCTTATCAGATTCAGGGCTAGTATTCATGAAGAAGGAGAACCCTCAACTGCAAATGATATTGCTCTGACCATGATGAAGCTTGTCAAGGAATGGAGAGCTTCACAGTTTGAAGAAACTGTTCTTGAGGTCATCCCTTCACCCATCCTCTCCCCTCACAAATCCCCTGTTATTTCTACACCTGCTGGTAATCCACCAAAACTCCCTCACTTCCTAAATCTCCCTCTAAACCTTCATCTCCACCCCAACAGAAAACCCTCTCACCAAACCAGAAAACTCCAACCTCTACTAGAACTCCATCTCCCCAGAAACCAAAATCCAGATCCTCATCACCTTGCAAACAACCCTCAAACACCAGAAATCGATCACCCTCACCCCCGCCATCTCCCTCACATCAACCTATTCCTCAACTGATCTCCTCCAACTACCAGAGCTCCCCTCACCGGAAAATTCCATCTCCCCTGAGTCCACCCCATCAGATATCCAAATCACCCTCCAGAACTGCCTCACTACAGAGATCAACCCACCATTATGTAGCTTCTACACTCAAGAGGGAACCAATCTTCAGAGTCCTCTCTTCAGAAAGTGACAATGATGGATTCCTCACCTCCTCCATTGCGGCTGATGAAACATCTAAAAGGAGAAGGACACCTCCAAGAGTTCCTTCCCCTACACCATCCACCAGAGTTCCTCCATTTCCCAAGAGCAGAGGATTGGAGATGCCAGGGTTTACAACTGAAGAACCCCAGATTCCTTTCAACCAGTTTGTGAAATCTGCAGAAGAATTTGGTGGTCTGTTAGTTCATGATCTGAGCAAGATCATTGAGCTGAACGACAGGCATCATGAAGAGCTAACCCATACCAACCTTCAACTCACAATCGGATTCCAGCATATGACAGACAAGGTTGCTGCACTGTCAGAAACTCTGCACAACTTCTTGCATTCATCTACATTGAGAATAGACTCTGTCTCCAGAGATGTCAGTGGCATCAACTCTGTTCTCCACTCTCACTCTCAAGCTCTACTTGCCCAGCACCAGACAGTCAAGCAGATCTCAGACTCTGTTAATACTCTTCAAAAATCTGCTGATAGTTCATCTCAGAAGCTCACAGTCTTACACTCCCTCTGCAAGGAGCATCAAGAGCAAGGCCTAGCTCTCATCAAGTCTGATAAGGAACGATACCAGAAGATGGTTCTTCTAGAAGTCAGCACTAAGGATCTCCAATCTGCAGTTAACAAGCAACAGAGCCTGATTGAAGGACTTGCCTCTGTCACTCAGACTCTACCAGAGACTCTTGATGAGATCAGAGATGCCCAAGCCTCTGAGTTCTCAAAGATTGAGCTCCTCCTTGGCGATCTTGTTGATGCCAAAAAGGGGGAAGATACCAGAAAAGAGGAAGGACCTAACTCTAGAGTCCTATCTATCAGAGAACCCTCCTCTACTGTTGATCCTGCTCCATACTTTGACGCAGCCAGAAAGAAGAGACTAGCTGCTGCAGGTACCAGACCTCCACCTCCTCCTCCAAGAAGTTCAAAGAAGAAGATCTCAAAATTCTCATTCAATGATTGGATGAAGAGTGGTCTGTCAAGGCCAGACAGAGCTCAGTTTGAACAGATGAGGAAGCTGATGACTCCCCTACAACGAGAGAATCTGTTCATGGATAGTGATGGACTTGTCCAGATCAACCATGGTGGTTCTATCCAAGAAGCAGAAATCTGGTACGGGATGAAGGTTCTCACTGGCAAGAACACTGCAGAAGCTGTTAGAAATTACTTGGACTGCAAACTTGCACCTCATTGGGCTGACTATCAGAATCCGAGGGATCTAGCCTCAATCAGAGCTAAGGTCAATGCAGAACTCGAAAGGATTGACAGAGCAGGACCACAGGTAGATGAAGAAGATCTCTAATTCTCTATCTCTGTCTCTGTAACTTTTCTCTCTGATAAATAAGATACCAACTCTGCCTCCTTTTTGCATGGCTTACTCAAATGTCTGTTCTTATTTACTCTCTGTACCTTCCTTGTGTTTGCTCTGATACCTTATTTGTTTTAGTTGCTATCTGAATGTATCGTACTCTTACTATCTTCCTATGCTAAGTTGCCCACCAAGATTCTAATGAAAAGTTTTAAACTTTTTTTTGGTGAAAGGCACTTCTCTGGAAATAGTTAAAGGGTTTTGGCATCATCAAAAAGGGGGAAATTGAAAGGAATAAATGTATTTAGATTTTGATGATGCTAGGTTAATTAGAATTTGAAAGTACCCCTTTAATAATTTTGTATTAAAATTTCTTTTGTAAGATTTAGCTTAGTCTACATGCCAGAGATCCACCTTGCTTCTACCAGAGTTGCTCCCAGAGTTGCTCACCAGAGAAGCTATCAGAACTGGTTATCAGTGTTGGTACCAGAGTTGGCAACAGAGGCGGACTTCAAAGCTTGAACCAGAGAGCCTCATCAGACTTAACCAAACACACCAGATTCCGAAAGTACTTCAACGGCCGTGAAACTAACGGGAAATTTTCTAACGGCTAGGAATCTTTTGACAGAACCTTGTACTATACGCGCATTTAATGTTCATTTAATGCGGTACGTACGAAGAGATATTTAAAGCTGATGATTGACCAAGCGAGGTTCTTTTCGCCCCCAAAATAGCAAGTCGAAGGACCAACCGGTCAAATCAACAGTACAAGCATTTAATGAAGCTGTCTTCTACACTCCAATGGGAAGACCGCTCCCAGTATAAAAGATACACCTCGAAGAACCACAAGATAAGATTCTTGAGAACTTTGTTAAGAAAAGCTCGCTCAACCCATCTACTGCGAACAAAAAAATATTCAAAAAGCCTTCTTGAGATTCAAACGTCATTCTTAACAAGAAAAGGCTACAGTTGGAAGATATACTTTCACATCTTTCATTCAACTGAAAAAAAAGAAGAAACAAAGTTCCTCAGTTCTTCAAACACTTCGAAAGCCTCATCTACACATCCTTTGTGAAGAAGCAACGTTGGAGAAAACTGATTTTGAATCAAACACTTCTTGAAAAAGAAGGGACGTCTCAAACTAGCTGGAGTAAGTGAAGTGGGGATACTTCAAGAGACTCAGTGAAACGAGACCAGCCATCAGGAAGCAGGACTGCATCCCGGGTGGCAACTAGACTTGAAGAAGACGAGGAGTGCTTCTTAAGCTCTAGGGACTAAGGCGTTGTAAACGGTTGTTTTTACAAGCTTAGTGGAACAGTGGACTAGAGGAACACGTTGTTCCTTGAACCACTATAAAAACCCCGGTGTCATTTACTTTAAGCTTTTAATTTCCGCACTTAAGGTTCTACTGATTAACTCTTAAGGTTGGACTCTGTGTCCAGCAGATCTTCTTTCAGAGTTATCAGAAAGGCACTTTGCCTTAGCATTTTTCTTGAGGCTACCCGAACAGAAACTTATCCGCTGCCTGGTCTAGTTCTGCCATCAGAACCTGACCCTCTCTGTCACCAGATTCAGACCCTCTCTGATAAGTCAATCTGACTTAGAGAAAAAGTTGAAAAACCGGAACATCTATTCACACACCCCCCCCCCCTCTCTCTCTAGACTGTTCCTAATTTGAACGGGACCAACACTCCGGTCCGGTCAAATTTCATAAAATGTTGACTTTTTTTCAAACAACGGTAGGCGGCCTGGTAGGCGGCCAATCTGGGCGCCTATTTGGGCGCCTGTAAGGTTTTTTGTCTGTCTTGTTCTGTATTTTGTGCTATTCAACTTTCCCTTCTGGACCACTTTGAAATTCTGCTTCCTTCTTTCGGTATGATATCATTTGTCACTCAAATTGACTCATTTTGTGCTAAATTGACCCGAAATTTCATCAAACATATCATGGATGTGATTTTTACCTGATTTCACGAAACTTGAACCAAAATATATAAAACATGCCTTGTTTTTCTGTTTTTCAATCCAAAATCACTTAAATTTGATAAGAAAAATAAGTACAAAAATGGACTTATCAATTCTCACGGGTTCTCATTTTAAGAGAGTTCTCACTAGAACCCTCCCCTATACATATATATATGTTTTGGTTCAAATAAGAACATGATCTTAGGAAAGAAATGAGAACGAATCTGGACCGTTAGATTTACTTTAGGTGAAATTCAATGTGCATTACATGAAACTTTAATGTGCATTGGGTGAAATTGAAATGTGTAACAAAAATTGTACGATACAGTCACATTATGTGAAGCTGAAAGGTGCATAAAGTGAAATTGAAATATGCACTAGGTGAAACTCAAATATGCGGAATAAAAGGTACGATGTGATGTGATTTTTGTACCTTTTATTCCGCACATTTGCGTTTCATCTAGTGCACATTTGAGTTTAAATTTTTATTCTGCACATTTCAATATTATCTGATGTACATTTCAGTTTCACAAAATGCACAATCCAGATCCACAAAATACAATCCAATGGTCCAGATTAATTCTTATTTCTCTCCTGGGAGTCCGTTCTTACCGGAACCACTCCCTATATATATATATATATAGGGAGTGGTTCCGGTAAGAACGGACTCCCAGGAGAGAAATAAGAATTAAGGGTACGGGTACGGCGAGGAAACGTCGCACTAAAAACTAAAGTATTAGTAATAAAACTAGATGACTATTAAAATAGGTCACGTTTACATGCATTAATTAGGAAATAAATTAACCAAACACCAACATTGTTTGTAATCCATTGTATGAATAATAAATAAAAAGGACAAAAGTAAATAATTCATTCGGTAATAAACACAATCTCCAGTTCAGGCTCATCTAATTACAAATTAGCAAATTTTAGATATCCCATTTCTTCAAGATTGTCAAATTCATCTCCTCCAACGTCCCACATCTTAGTTTTCTCATCTGTATATTGCTCAGAACTCCGAGACAAGAGGCGAAGGTTGTTGTGCACAAACACCAAATCCTTTGCACGTTTAGGAGTTAATTTATTCCTTCTAAGTGAATGAATAAATGAGTGCATGCTCCAATTACGTTCACAAGAAGATGAAGAAGTAGGTTGACCAAGCACTCTAAAAGCAAGTGATTGAAGGATTGGTGTTTGAGCACCAAAGTTTGCCCACCAATTTTTTGGATCCGTGTTTCCCATCTTTGAAAGAGATGTAATATCTGCAAAAGCCCCTGTCTTAAGTGAAAAGGAAGTCAATTCATTCAAAACCTTGTCATAATCCTCAGCGTTTGGATAGAACCTTCGAAAACATTTCATCCTCTCTTGAGAGATTTCACCATCTCTATGAGGAGGGACTCGGGCGGGATCCTCATCAAGCCAAACTTCACTATAAAATCTAATAACACAAAAATACATTGTAAAGTATAAAAATGAAATTAAATAATTGAAATAAATAATTAGAAGAATTTATGTAATACCTTGGATTTAATGAATGAGCTAAACAATGAATTGGTGTTGAACTCTTTCCCCAACGTGCCACAAGAATATCATATATTACGTTGAAGAACGCACTATATGAATCAAGAGATTTTTCCTCATGCTTATAGATTTGGATTTTGACTTTTTCAATCATTGAATCCCACATCTCATACACCAAATGAAGACATGACTTATCTGTATCACATGCTCGAATCATACTATAAATGGGATCTGAGAAAGCAAGAATGTAATTTAATTGATCCCACCAGTACTCACTCAAAACTTTGTCTCTCACAAACCTTGCTTTACCTGTGTCATCCTCTCGATAGAAAGCCCACTCATCACTCAACACCATAGTTTCAAGACCACGTCTAATAAGCTTAAATCTCTTAAGCATCACAATAATCGAAACAAATCGGGTGTCAGCAACAGAAAGTAATTTGAGGGACACGAATTTGTTAAACATGGACAACCTCATCGTATGATTCATGATGAAATTCTTTATGTGAACCGCATCACCATGAATTTCAGTGATCCAATGACATTCATCATATACTTCTATGTTGTTGTCCACATTTTTTGCAGCACAAATATTTTTTAAAGCAAGATTTAAGGTATGCACAACACATGGTGTCCAATAAATGTGTGGATACACACCTTCAATCATTTCTCCCGCTCCCTTGCAATTTGAAGCATTGTCGGTGATAACCTGAACCACATTTTGATGGTCTATCTCATCAATAACTTCTTTCATTAGATTAGCAATAAATTCTTTCGAGTTCACTTCACTCATGCAATTAACAGCTTTAAGAAACATAGGACCGCTTCCAGAAGTTGCCATGAAATTAATTATCGGTCTCCTCTGAGGACCACTCCAACCATCACTCACAATTGTCACACATCTTTCCCGCCAAGTAGCTTTGAGTGGTTGTAATAACCTCTCAACATTAGCCTTCTCTTGTTGTAACAAAGTGGTCCTCAATTTATTATAACCAGGTGGCACATAACCTGACAAATTGTGATTTGCAGCAAAAGAAAAAGCTCTCACATAATATGGATTTCGAGTAAGATTAAATGGAAACCCTCCTGTGAAAAACATTCTAGCAATTTCTTCATCCAGTTTGGCTCTACCATCTACATCAAATGCTTTTTCCAAAGGGCCCATGCTAGATTTTCTTTTATTAGAAAAACTAATGTTACTCGTCCAATCCATTTGTGTTCCTCCGGAAGGTAAAGGAATATCTTTAGGGGCAGCATCTTTTCTTTTATTCTCAACTTCCTCTTCCAATTTTTTCATTTCACGTAGATCATTGGATTGAACCTTTTTACATACGGCAATTCCTTTGTTTGAAATTTGAAGCAAGTGTGCCCTTACCCTCGAATAAGATCCTTGTTTAACTTCATTACAAAAGTTACACTGAAACCTCCAAGTACCCCCCGTATCAGCACTTTTACCTAGTTTAGTAACATAATTCCATAAAGGTGTATTATCAACACCCGATGATGAATGTGCTCCCAGTTACACTCCCGTTACCATTAGGTCCATTAGAAGAACCAGATACATCCATAGAGCTTATCTAAAAAATGAAGAGAAAATAATTTTTTTACAACTACATTTTATTGGTAAAGTAATGGTCTGAAAAAAGCACAATAAAGATCACTTTATTTACTACACTTTATACTTTTACTAAAGCCTTTATGGACTGAAAAAAGTACAGTAAACATTTTATTTACTGAACAAAACAAAAGCACACTAAACATGTTATTGACCGAACAAAACAAAAGCCAAAAAAAAGAAAAGCAAATCACTTTATTCACTTTATTAGCTAAGCTTTACTACAGCCGAGTGAGCTGACAACTGCAATAGAAGAAGGGTGAAGGGCGATTAGCCGATTACCTGGCGGGCTGGCAGCTGCAATCGGCGAAGGCTGGCGGGCTGTCAGCTGGCGGATGAAATCGGCGAACGGCGAAGGACAGCTGGCGGATGAAATCGGCGAACGACGAACTGGCGAAGGACAGCTGGCGGATGAAATCGGCGAACAGCGAAGGACAGCTGGCTAGAAGCGAGATGAAGGGCGAACTGGACGAAGGGCGAATCGTGATTAAGGTTAGGCCGCTGGATATTTTTTTTAAAATTTGGGCCGGAAACGTTTCTATGGGCTTAATTGGCGTTTCCTCAACGTTTCCAGATCCATACCCGACCCAAAAATGGGCAGAAACGTGGGTCGGCATTTCGTGGGCGTTTCCTCGCGTTTCCGGACGTTTCCCGTTTCCGGGACGTTTAGGAAGCGGAACCTTGGACCCAAATGGCGTTTCCTAGTTAGAAGTGAGAACAAATCTCAATCATCCAAAACACACATTCGTTGAGATGATGTGATGAGAAAATCCAAGGCCATTTTTGTATCATCCTTTTATGTCAACTTTTTGTAACCTACAATGAAATTAATACATGTGATTTAACTTAGGAAAGGAAAGCCTAATTTCACATTCTCTCAAATACTACATCCGGAGTATTTTTTAAGGACCACTTTCATTTACTATCTCTAATATGGTAATTTACTTCTACTTACCTTTTTAATATTACTAAGGATGTTTTTACTTGAACTATAATTCCTCCCATACCAGATCAGACTTGGATAGTTATAAAAATACAAAGAAACTAGACCAGACCAGACTATAATTCCTCCCAGACCAGACCGGTGGCATTTTTTGATGAAATTTTTATGCCATGTTCTTCATCAAGTCTAGTTTATCCACACAAAAAATCAGCTAAAAACTCAATCCGAAAGGTCGTCAAATGATTTTTTGAAGTTAGCTGCGTTTTTCTATTTATAATTGTGCGCATTTAACTTCAAAAAATCATTTGACGACCTTCTGGGTTAATTTTTTAGCTGAATTTTTTGTGGATAAACTAGACTTGATGAAGAACATGCCATAAAAATTTCATCAAAAAACTCTACCAGGAAGGCGACCAAACGCCGTCGGTCGGACAACGCTTCTCCTACGGACGAACGCATCAGAATGGGACTCTCTCTCTCTCTCTCTCTCTATCTCTCTCTCTCTCTATATATATATATATATATATATATATATATATATATGCAATACAAATAATATGCAACACTTTGAACTTCAATATGCAATGCAAATAATATGCAACACTTTGAACTTCAATATGCAATACAAATAATATAAAGATGCAACCCACACAGGTAGCTCAGTTGGTCGAGTGGTGAGAGATTTGTATCAATGAACCAAGGTTCGATTCCCCACAGCGACCGGATGGAGATCACAGAACCTGAAATAAGATTGTGCCTCTTGTGCGCACGATTGTATGGGCCTACTGCCATTCTGCTGACTGAGTTACCGTGACTAACCTCCCCAGTCCCCACCATCCTGTCAGGTCAGGGTGGGGGCTCCTGGGGTGGGAGATTCCACCTTTTTTGGATCAATAATGTAAAGATACATAGTTTGTGATAGTTTGTAGGTTGGCATGGGAGAACTAGTTTGTATATGATCTCACCTCTAATTATTTATATTGCATATTGAAGTTCAAAGTGTTGCATATTACTTTTATTGCATATTGAAGTGCACAGTTTTGTATTGCATATATATATATATATAGCACAGTATGTTTCAATAATTTCTTTAACCGACTTCCTAATTGAATTTCAAACTAAAGTTTGGTGAGTCTAAACTAGATTTGATGACGAATATGCTTAAAACCTTTCATAAAAAAATCCACATGCAACCGCCCTAAAAATTGAATTCCGCATGGCGGTTCCAGTCAGGAGCTGCTGACTCGAACTAGGGGTGGATTCGGTTCGGGCCACCCGGCCCGTGACCCGGCCCGGCCCGGTACTGTGCGGGCCCGGGACCGGCCCGGTCGGGCGGTCCGGGACCGGGTGTAGACCCGAACCGGTGGGAATGGGCGAGGCGGGCACGGTTCCGGAAAAATACGGCCCGGCCCGGCCGGGTCGGGCCCGGGCCCGGGTCCGGGTCCAACGGCCATATTTTAAAAAAAAAAATAAAAATGGCTACTAGCCGTTATGGGTGGGCTTGGGACAACCCAAACGGCTACATAGCCATTGGGTGGGTCTTGGGGGGGTCCGGGGGGTTGGGTGGTGGGGGTGGTGGTGGGGGGTGGGGGTAAAAAACCTATAAATACTCCTAATCTTAAACATTTTTTCATATCTCTTCTCCAATTCTTCCTAAATCCTATTCTTAACTCTCTACTCTCTAATTCTCTTATTCTCTAATATATTATATTTATTATTTATATATCTACTTTATAGTTTATACTTAAGAAGTTATGATGGAAAATCAAGATGCCATTATACGGTATAATTTTGATAAACAGAAGGACTCGAAGACCGGGATGTGGTACGCAACTTGCAAATGGTACGAGAAAAAATGTAGCATGGGGGTTTCAGGCGGATACGGGATGGCAATCAAGCATATGAAGTCATGTGACAAAGCCAAAGGATCGTGAGGTGCGGGAAGTTCCGATTGATTATAATTTTCAAAATGTTTGTCTCTTAAAGTTTGTTTTAATTTTCAAATGTAGTTCCTATTTCATTTCAAATAAATGCACTTGAAGTTTGTTTTTAATACTCATATAAAACTATAAACTATAAAATATAAATTATAAAAAAAAAACTTTAACCAGCCCGAACCGGACCCGACCCGCAGCGGCGGAACCTGAACTTTTTTCGAGCAGGTGCCGAGGAATGTATCAAATAAATACATCATAATAAATTTAGGAAAAAAACACATATGATTGTCTAAATTAAGTGTCGTAAAGCTTAATGTTTACATATAAGTCCAAAACTAAGTACTCTGGGAAATTAGGGGAGATAATTGTGTCCTGCGAGTTCACATCTGTTGAAAGCGTTGCAAAATTACTTCATTTTCAATGGTTGCAAAAATCTCTTTCTCGATATATACAACCAAGCTATCATTCATCCATTCATCTCCCATCCTATTGCGCAAATCAGTCTTGATAATTTTCATAGTAGAGAAGACTCTTTCTACTGAAGCAGTTGCAACCGGTAAAACCAAAGCTAACTCAATAAGATGGTATACCAATGAAAAAACCTTGTTCATTCCAGTTTGAACCATTTGCTTGGCAAGACATCCTAAATCATCAACCGTAGAAAATTGATCATGATCCCGGACGGTATGAATATAAGTCTGAAGTTGTTGCTTGAGTAAAACACGATCAGTACATGAAAAGTCCTCCGGATAAAGTTCAGCCATGCGGAGTAATTTGTCAATGTCAAAATGACAAAAAGAGTTTCTTGGATCAAGACATGCAATACAACTCAACAACTCCGTACTTGCTTCAGGAAAACGATTGCTCATCTCTGAAATCATCTTATCAAGAACCTATCACACCATAAAGACAACATTATTGAGCAAAAGTATTATTATCAATTTATAATAAAAGAAGATGTAAAATAATTATACCTCACAAAATATTCCCCCATGAAAGTGGATCAAATTCGAAATTGTCTCTCCATTTCGCCTACTACGACCACGAACTTTCACATGTTCTTCCATATTAGATAATGGAATCTTTTGATTTTCACAAAAAAGATTCACTTCCTTGAAGAGATTATCCCATCCATTATCTCGAAATTCTTGTAACTGGGCCTTCATTGTACTAATCAAATGAATAGCCAAGACAATATTTTGATCTTTTTGTTGCAAGGCAAGAGACAATTCATCTGTGATTCCAAGTAGATATATCATCAAGTGCATCACAAATACAAATTCATAATTCTCCATCTTATCAATTAAACTTGAAGCTATTCCTCGCTCTTCATTAGCACCATCCTCATACACATTCTCAAGAGCTTTTAATACGGAACTCCACATAGACATCAAGCGAATAATAGTAATGTAATGTGATCCCCAACGAGTATCTCCTGGCCTTTTCAAACTAACTTCTTGATTTTTCCCCTTGCCACTTACAATCTCCCCACTTTCCAAACTTTCTAGAAGCCTCTCATGTTCTATTTGTCTAAGTCTATCTCTTATTTTTTTTTGATGAAATGTAAATATATATATCATCAAAAGAGTATATGTACAACCTATAAACAAAAACCAAAACTATAGGCAATCCAAAGATTTGGATCCCCCATCCATCTGCGTGATAACCATCTCAAAGAGAGCTAGCTATCCACTCCAAAACTAGCCACAAGGCATGACAAAAAGTGGGAGACAAAGCACCCCATCAGTTTCAAAAGTTAATCATATCGACCGGATATAAGGAGTATAACAATTTATAGACCATAAACTTGATTTGGGCTACAACTCCTTGAATGTTTGCTTTTGCACCATCAAACCGAATGGAGTTCCTTGATCTCCAAATCCAATATATCGAGTAACAAAATGCTATCTCTTCTTTTACATGAAGCCCCGGTAACATTCACAATCATAGTGACATATTGAAAAAAGTCACACACAATTCTATTACACTTAGCAACAACAACAACAACTAGTTGGAGTTGGTGTGAAAAGCAATGGACATACCTTGTGGCTGAATTTTCTTTCAAGATGAGAGCGTTCAATCCATTATACTCACCTCGCATATTAGAAGCTCCATCGTATCCTTGACCTCTTAATCTTGATATTGACAATTTATGTTTTGCAAACAAGTCATCAATATAGTTCTTTAAAGAAAGCGCTGAAGTGTCATTGACATGCACCATAGCAAGAAAACGTTCAATGACATGTCCAAATTTGTTCACATATCTCACAACAACTCCCATTTGCTCCTTGATTGAGACGTCTCTAGATTCATCAACCATAAGAGTAAAAACTTTATCCCCTAAGTCTTCAAGAATAACTTTGGTAACTTCCACAGAACAAGCATTAGTTAGCTCCTTTTGGATTTTAGGAGATGTCATTAAATTATTCCCGGGAGCATTCTCATTCATGACCACGAAAGGGCAAACCTTGTTTCAAAAGAAAACGTGTTACATCCAAAATCGCTGTTAAACGAATTCGATATGCAGCTTCTATTTCACGCCCTTGAGCACTTAGCAATTGTGATACACTTTGTCTTTGATTTTGAAAACCCTCAAGTTGTACTCTTGCATTATTATGAGCACTATCTACATCACCAACATGTGTATTAAATGTTTCAAGTGCTTTCCTCCAATTACTAACCCCCACCTCAGTGAATGCCACTTCCCCAGCCCGACATCCTCTATTTGAATTTTTGAAGAGATAGCACCATAGACAAAAAGCGGCATCTTTTGATATGCTATATTCTAACCATGGATATTTGTCAAACCAAGAGGGTTGAAAACTTCTATAATCGGTCCCATATTTTTTACGAGGATAAACATGCCCAACCGGTTTACAAGGACCCCTAGTTAAGTATTCTCGGCGGACAAGATCTCTACTCAAAGGATCAAAATCATTAATAGGTCTACGTAAACCTGGATCAGCAACCAAATCTTCGGGATTTAGTTTTGTCCTTTTATTTTCTTCAGAAGGACTTTTTGAAGACTTTCCATTCGGTATTAAGAATTTCAACATTCTTAACCTAACAAATTGTACAAGTGTACAACAATAAATTCATATATTAATAATTAATTAGCCTTGATTTATATGTAATCAGTACATTCACTATTAAATTAACAACTAATAAGACAATTTAGTTAAAAAATGTATAATGAATTGCCAAAATTTTAATTTAAATATAAAGGGGAAAAATAGAAAAATTGAAAATAGGACTATAGAACTATAGAAGTACCGGTCAAAGTGGAAGACGGAACTTGGCGTCCGGCGTGCTGCGATGTCCAGCGTCCGGCGTCCGGCGTGACTCACTTCGTTGGTTGCTTCTTGGCTTCTTGCTTGAGCTGCGCGCAGGAATGGAAGACGGAACTTCCGAAAAGGTGCCTGGCTGCCTGCTAAATTCTAATTTGGTTTGGGGGAATTGGGACTTTGGGCAATGGGCTGCAGGCTGCTGGAGTGCTGGTCATTGGGCCTTCCTTGGCCCGATAGGCCTTTTTTTTCACAGCATAGACCCAATTCACCCAAAATTTTAAAGGTCTGATTTTTTTTAATCCCTTCTTCCCTATCCTCCAGCCGGCAACGACGTGAGCAGTCCAATCACAGAGCTCTCCGCCTCTCCGGAGTCTCCACTCTCCACCTCTCTGACTCCGAGTCTCCGGCAGTCCGGCTCAGCGGCTCTCCGGCGAAGGGTGCTGGTAATGAAATTGCGGCAGGTGAGCAGGAGCGCCGGAAAAATATACATATATATATATACCTAGACTACTCCGGCGAAGGGGGAGCGCCGGCACCGGCTCGCCCCCCCCCCCCCCGGGTCCGCCACTGCCGACCCGTGACCCGGGCGGGTGGCCCGGCCCGAACCGGACCCGTCCAACCCTCGGGCCGGTCCCGGGCCCATGTCATACAAACCGGCGGCCCGACCGGGCCTAGGCCCGGCCCGAGTCCACGACTAACTCGAACCAGACTATATAAACATTGAACCGCCCCAAACTTTCATGTCACGTTTTGACCTCAATCAGTTATACATCGCAGTCTACATTCACAAACTACACCACTATATTACGAATTACCCAAACAAGCTTCTTTTTCCGGATCACAACTCAACACTTTTATTCACAATATGACATTATTTTAATGTTGATGTACCACAGTACCAAGCTCGCCCGTCATTGGTTTTGTACTCCGTATTTAGATTGAAAAAGTAATAAAACAAACAAAAAAGATGGGGGTAGTTTTACATTATGAACATACCATTACTGTTGGGCTGTTGGTTGAGCTGCACTCTGACATGTTTAGTACTAGCAAACAAGAAGTAAATAGGATATAATCAATCTCACAACACAATTAGTTTTCTATGCAGATTGTCTGCAGCCAAAGTCGCTGCATCTCCACCGTGATTGTGATCATGAAAGATGAGAGTTAAAATTCCAACCACACATAGGACCGAACCTACGAGGAGCTTGTCATAGCGCTCCACCCAATGAAACTTGAGCTGGCTCGCACCGTAAAATGACAGCGCAACCAGCGAGGTCATTACCGTCATGGTGCTGTACATTGAAACAGATTTAAAATCTTGTCTATGGCGGGAGAATTGCCTTTTCTCGGTAATTAAGCCAAGAAAAATGACCAGATGCCCCCAAAAAATGACCCTGAACTGTTAACCAAAAGCCTCGATTGGCCCTGAACATTTCAGACATCATTTTTAACCCTCAAGTAACTAAAATAACTCAATGATGACTTTGAACTTTCACAAAAGTAGTGATAATTGACTTCAGACGCGCCATAGATGTAGGCATTACAAAGAAAAACAGTGTGGTAGATGATGGAAAGTTATATAAGGAATGATAATATCAGTTGCAACGACTACAGAACACATTGTAAATCCAAAGAGTCCTACCCAAGTCATTTCAATGTTTAAACCTATAATATTTTCTTTCAGCAGTTGCAACTGGTTTTATCATTAGTCATCTCTTTTCACATATCTAATCTTGTCTGATTATACAGCATGTGAATGGGATAGGTGTCCAATCAACTGCTTTTATGGATAGACTGGCTGTCTGAAGAGGCATAAATAGTCTCCTGGTTGAACTCTTTATGTGGCTACTTCTATAAAATTGGTTCCTTTCTTATTAAAAATAAAAAATAAACGCAACTTTACATCATGTCAAAAGTTGACCACGCCTTTTTACACAACTCAGGGGCACTGTGAAGTTACTTTAGTTGATTCAAGGGCCAATTGGAGTTTCTATGTTCATTTCTTTATACGAAGTTCAGGGACATTCTTTACTATTTGACCCAACATACCTGAATAGAAGAACTATAATGGCAAGCACCAGCATGGAAGATGAATTCCCAACAGCAAGAAAAACGGGCAGAGTGGTTGCACAAGGAGACAAAGCTGGCACGAGAACAAGCCCTGCAACAGCCATTTTTTCCATGGGTTGGTTGTGTGAATGGGTATGACTGCCACCCTTTCCTGTGAAGAACAAGATGGCATAACTCCCACCAAGAACTATGAGCAACAGAGATGCAAGTTTATGCACAGTTTCCTCCCCGGCAATGGTGTTTGATATGGTGATTGCTGTTATTCCTAGAAGCGAAGTTGAAAAAACATGCAAAATAGCCCCAAGTGCAGCTGTAGGAAAGGCACAGCTAGCATATCGTTACAACTTACAACTAATACAAACAAAACAAATATTTAACAGAAATAAAGGCTAATTAAATGCCTGTTTGGGATAATGTATGGTATAAGTGCTCTTTTATTTAAGCAATTACAATGCTTTTAAAATTGGCACCACTCTGTTGCTATCTCAAATTAAGCATAAAATTTCTTTTGCTATTAAAACTTAAAAGCATTCCTTCATTTTCCTGTCAAGCAAATCTTTATGAAGTAAAAATGTTTTTCTCCAAGTAAAAAACACTTCTTATTTCCTGAAAGTCTGCCATTCCATGCATTCTCTATACTTATTGTCAAAAACTCTTTTCAAGGATTAAGTTTTCTATGTATTGAAGGTGGGCACTACCGAACTTTGGCTCAATGTCAACGAATTGGGCATTAAGACCAGAGAGTTTAAGATACAGCAGAGAATTAATATCTAGAATGGATGTTCCACGGCACCATATATTCCTCAAGGCTCTAGAATAAATATTCCATGGCACCATCTATTCCTTTAAGGATCTATTTGGCATTCCAAACATAACCTAAGGAAATTGAAATTTGAGTCACATTCAGAGCAGAAAATAAAATCAATTCAAGAGCTACTATGACGGAACACAACAATTGCAGCAAATCTTATCGAATACTCCCTTTGTCCCATAAAGGTTGGCAAACTTTGTCTTGCACGTTGAATATTAAATAGAAATTGTGTAGTTCAAATTTGTGTAGATGAGAGAGAAATGACAAACCTTTTTGGGACAACCCAATAAGGAAAGTTGGCAAACCTTTTTGGGACGGAGAGAGTACTCCCAAGTAAAGAAAGCCAACTGTCCAGTCCGGGTCCAACATGATAATACCAGCCTACTCCTTTCACAACTATAGTTGCTTATTTATATTATCCCTCCTGGCCCTTAATATTTCCCTTCCCTCTTCTAGAGTACACTTTGCTATAGTAACTTTTATTACTATGATTATTAGTTGGTTGTCTCCCGGTGTCTCTATTAGGTTCCCATTTCTATTTTAGGAAACAACTAACACTCTTGGGAATGACAAATTAATCATCAAATATTAAAATAACATATTTATAACACCATAATTATGATGAACGACCCCATTATATTATATACCCATCAAAACTATTTTTCCAAATAGAATCAAATAACCTTATATAATTACTGTCAAAATAATCGTGTCATTTTACGATGGGAACCTTCAAGCAGGACAGAGGTAGTATCATTTATTAAGAATACACTACAGTATCCAAATATAATGAGTATATGTTGCACATATACCAAAGATTTAAATACACTTTTGACATTTATCAGGGATTATGTTTTTATTTTGTCAAAGATATAAAGACAGAGTGCACCACACGCGGTAATTGCCTACTGTAATTGAAATATTCACTACTTTGACTCTATGATGCATGGCACAATATAATACTCCCTTTGTTCCTTAAAATTTTGCGAAGTTTGACCGGCATGTGGATTAATAAAGTAAAAAATGTGTGGTTGAGGTTTGTGCAGAGGAGAGAGAATTATCTAGAACCACAAATTCTTTACTAAAAAGGGAAAGTGGCGAAGTTAGTGGGACAACCAAAAAAGAAAAGTTGGCAAAGTTTTAAGGGGTGAAGGAAGTATTATGCAAAGACAAGAAGAACAATGAAGAGTAATAGCTGATTTATTTGCTTATTTGATTTTATTTTGATTTGATTTTAATACCTTCATTAGATAATCCTTTTGGTAAAAAGAGCAATCAAGTAGAATAATGAGGACTAATAGCTGGTTGATTTTCTTGTTTGATTTATTCTGATTTGATTTCAATGCCCTCGTTACTTAGGGGCTGTTTACTTTCGACTTAATGGTATGAATGGAAACAATGACTTATTCGGTCAGCGGGTCAGCCATATACTCTTGTTTACATGGGACTTATTTTAAAACATGACTAATTCACTCAGACCATTTTTAACTTAATAGTTCAGCCCGAATTCAATACTCCTTACGGTCCAGACTCCAGACAACGATTCAGACATATGTATCGCCTCTTTCTTTTTTAACCTTCATTCCCTTCACTAACCCTCTTCGCTAACCTCTTTTACGGCCGCCAAGTGAAGAGTTGCACACATAGTCCATCGCCGGTCGCAGCAACCTACACATTTCATCTCCATCTCCGACTCTCATCCCTCACCTTCTCCATATCGGTATTTCCTTTAATTTTTCTCTTTAGTATTTTCTCTCTGTTTTGTTTTCAATTTCTCCTAATAAGAGTTCTTCCTTGTTCTCTATCATACTTTTCACTACCTACAATGAAGTTTTGAATTTTTGGAGTAAATTCACTACATTTTTATATTTAGGTCAATCTTTTGTAATTTAATTTACATATGCCATATTGTTAAATTTCATGTTTGATGTTGGATGGTTTGATATTAGGTCAATCGAGTTTTTGACTTGATATATACGGAGTTGAAATTCCACAATATCAACTTTCTAAGGCTTTTAATCATTGGAATCCTATTTAACAAACTTATGGAGTTGAATTCCACAATAGCAACTTTCTAAGGCTTTGTTCTGTTTCGGTCATTTTATGAATCAAAAAAATAACTGGAGGATCCTTGATGCGAATCAAAGATTGTTCTGTTTTCAAAGATAGCTCTAATACACAATGAGTAGAATTAATAATGCGTGTCTCTCAGATGGGATTTGTACTATTGTGCAACCATTTTAGAGAAAGAAATTGGTTGAGTGATAGTAAACATGTAAGTGTTGAGGAGATGATGGCGATGTTCTTGAGAACTATTAGAAATAATCAGCGGTTTAGAGTCATTAAGCGAAGATTTCAACACTCCACAAGAACCGTTCACAATTGCTTTCATGAAGTTTTACAAGGAATGATGAAATTTGCAAAAGAAATGATAGTACCGACGTCTGATTCTATCATAAATATGTGAAATCGCCAAAAACGTTTGATAGAGATTTTTCCGGTATGTTCTCATTTTATTTTATGTTACTAATGTATAACGTGTAAACTTTATTTACAATATTTTATGTTTATTTGTTTTGCAGGGAGCGATAGAGGCTTTAGACGGAACTCTTGTACACGCCATTGTGCCTACTGAACAACAAACTATTTATAGAGGAAGAGGAGGGGGCGGTGTTATCAAAATGTTTTAGGAATTTGTGATTTCAATATGGTATTCACTTTTGTTTGGGCCGGTTGGGAAGGAATAGCACATGATTCTTGAGTATTAACTCAAGTTGTATTGAATCCTAATTATGGCTTCCCATTTCCTCCACAAGGTGCACATCATTTCTCATTTTTTCATTAAATGTTATTGATTTAATTAACAATTTTATAACATTTGAATTTTTTACAGATAAATATTATTTATGTGATGCTGCATATGCAAACACGCGTGGTTTCTTGGCTCCATATCGTAACACAAGGTATTAGTTAGCAGATTATCGACGACGTCGTGCACTAACTAAAGAAAAATTCAATCATGCACATGCACAACTTCGGAATGTGATTGAACGTACTTATGGTGTCTTGAAAGCAAGATTTCCAATCTCAGAACAAATGGCTCCTTATCCATTTGTGGTTCAAAGGAATGGGGTGATTGCTTGTTTTGTGGTTCACAATTTTATTAGAAAATCTAACATTGATGATAAAGTCTTCGATGAATGGGATAGTGACAATGTAATCAACAATCAAGCACAAGAGGAAGTTGAAGACATTGGAGATGAAATACATGGAGCACAATGGGGTACACAAAGTCTACAATATATGGCGAATTTGAGGGATGAAATTGCTAATAGACTAGTATGAAATGTTTAAATTTAAAATGTCGTTCTCCTAAAAATCATGACCTTGTTTTATCATGTAATATGACTCTTTTATTTAAGTAATTCATAGTATTAGTATTTTCTAGTATAAAAATTTTATCTTTCAGAACAAAGAAAGTAAACAGACAATATACATTCAGCACTTGTTACAGACAGGAGAGTTATTTGGTAATTAGACATGATTCAGACTTCTCATTCAGCACACTTAGTAAGCACACTTAGTAAACAGCTTGTTATCTCGGTGTATAGGCATGACAATGGGTCGGGGCGAGGCAGGTACGGCAAGACCCAAGCCCGCCCCATGACTTGACAGGGCAGGTCCGCCCCGCCTCGTGACCTGCACGGGTCCAAATTTGTTAACCCATGACCCACCCCATGCGGGGCAGGTCCGCCGTGTCCCGCCCCGCCCTGCAGTAACCTAATTAGCTGGTATGTATTTTTATTTGTAAGAAGTTGTTACCAATTGAATCTACATAAAATTTATCTTTAAATAATTATTAAAAATTAATATATTAAATCAAATTCACGATACGCTAGAAATTTCAAAAGTTAAGGGAAAATCGCTTAGATTGAATAGTTAATCTATTTAATTATATTAATACTTGAATATATGTATTAAAATGCTATATATAAAGAAGACATTGATAATCCGTCGTTCATCTCAATCTAATATAAAGAAGACATATGTATGTTGAAGTATATTTGTAGTACTACCTACATCCCTTAAAACTTTGACAAAGTGGATCGGCACGGAGAATAATAAAGTAAAAACTGTATGGTTGAGATTTGTGCAGAGGAGAGAGAAATAACAGAAACCACAAAATAATTGATGGCAAAGTTTTAAGGGACGGAGGGAGTATAATTTAAGAAAAAGTATGTATATACTTATATATTGAGCGGGTCAGGGCGGGGCAGGGCGGCACGGGTCAATTCTAATACCCGGACCCGCCCCATTGTATAGGCGGGGCGGGGCGGACCCGCCCCATTTGCAAGACAGGGCGGGGCAGACACGCCCCAAATGTCTCGGGCCAGGGCGGTTCATTGCGCGCCAGGTTTTTTTGACATCCCTATTAGTGTAACTTAATCCAGACAGACAACTTAATGCAGACAAACATCTTAATTCATTCAGGACTTAAATGAGAAAAAAAGTAAACAGTCCCTTAATCAGTTGTAGGGAGTGATTTTCTAGGATTTCCCTTATTTATGGTATCCATATGCATGCAATCTCTCTTATATAAGGGAACCTTTTTATGCTAATAAAATATCCAATAAACAATTAAGAAGAAATTAAGGAGAAGGAAAACTGCCCAAATTTCCACAATCCCTTTCATTCATCCTTTTCCTTTTCTAATTTATTCCTGTGAAGCAAAGAATCTGGGTACATAACATACTCATTGCTTCACATGTAGCCATTAAAGAAATCAAGTAAAGTCTGATTAAGTTTGGTGCTTATCTACAACTGATGAAAATTCTGGAGTTGGTAAACATGGAAGTCCTAAGGTTAGGAACGAGATGTGATTGTAAGCATCAATGCATAGGAGAACCAAAGGCTAAACATCCTCATAAACCACAGATCAATCCGTTAAATCTTGAAGTAAGATATAAAGAGATAACTTAAATAGATGAAAATATGAAATTGGAAAAGATACGCAAACATGCATTTTAGAAATCTAAGAGGCTAGAAAGAACGGTAAATTGATCAATCTATTCAACCATTCTGTTAATAGGCCATTTTCCCACATGACAGAACAAAAAGCTCTAAATCTGACCTATGATAACCCACCCGAAAATTCAAAAAGGAAAAAGAAGAAGATGAGTACGCTATATATGTCCACTCAAACTACAGCAACCGAGCGGAAGCAGGAATGAATTGAAAATTCAAACAAAATGCAAGGGATTGAAGAGAATTACTAACTGATGATGAGAGTCCGGGAAAGTGTCCATTTCTGAGCGCGGCCGACGATGGAGAAAGGTAGCCAGTGCGTAGGAATGAAGGAATGCAGCAACGACACAGTCGCAATGCCGCCGATAGTTGACAGATCTTCGGCGCTTAATCCTCCTCCGCTCTCCATTTCTATCTGTACCTTTTATATATGGAAACCTCTCCCGTAACTTCACAGTTCGCATTGATAGGAGGTATTGGTACAGATCCATATAGAACTTATTTTAATTGAAAAGTAAAAGTTGAAGTGCTATAAAAAAAAAGATAGAAATTTTTATCCTTAATATGACTAAATTGTTCTTGGAATTCCTATTTTACCTATAATTTTATTCTCTAAATAGGCCTAGATTACCTATTTGCTCCTATTTTTTGCTTTTTCCCTGCACATATTGTCAAGCACAAACGTTGGGCATCATAACTCCCCTGCCAAATTGCTTTTTTGTTTTTTTGATTTAACTTTCTTTCATGCGCATCTTATTAACTCTCTTGCCATCTTCTCCATCTGCTGCACAACTTCTCCATCCGTTGGGCATCTTCTTCATTTGTTGGACATCTTCTTCTCTTAGCTTCACAAAGAAACAGCCGAACCAAGATCCCAGTCATAACCATCGCCGTCATCATCGCAAAGTCTACTATCGCCGCACGCCGCCGTAGATCGGGTTTTCTTATCCGCAGATCTGCATCTTCTTCTATTATTCTCCTCGTCCTTCTTCCTCTCTTCTATTAAGTTACAGTTGCTAATTGAAACTAAAAATGCAGGTTAAACTTTAAAAATGCCATTAAAATGGCATTCTCATTCATAAAAAATGTATTTTCCTTTGAAAATGCCATTAAAATGGCATTCTCATTCATAAAAAATTGTATTTTCCTTTGAAAATGCCATTAAAATGGCATTCTCAATTTATGTTGACAGTTTGATGAAGATATTGGCATTTGTGTTGACATCGACCAGATCTACAACGGTGCAGGCCATATTGTAGAGGCAGACGTTGGATGAGCTACGATGGTGGCCGAATCTGCAGGGCAGTGACCGGCAGCGGCAGAGACTAGAGATTTGGTCAAATCTCTGACGACGGCCGCCAAATCTGCAGCGGCGAGAGCCAGATCTGCAACGGCGGCGTCCTGATCTACAATGGCGGCCAATTTTAAGGCGGCGGCATGGCCGGCGACCAGCAGCGATGGACGGCGACCAGCGGCTATTGGCGGTGGTCCCGTTTCTGCTTGGTGGAAGTGTGATTTTCAGACTTCAGGGGTGTTTTTGTCAAATTATAAATAATAACTTCTATATAGATCATTTTTAAACTTTAGTCCTATTTTGACAATTAAAGATTGATTTAGTCGTATTTAGGTAAATACCTCAAAAAAGATTAATATACTGTTAAAATACAAAAAGAGTTTTTTATAAAAATATTACTAAAATAAAACATATTTACATAAATATGACTATTCATTACTGCAATGTGGTGTTGTGGTAACTTAAGCTCAAAATTTAAACATGAATTACTATGATTTCATTACTACTCTAGTCATTAGTCATATTTTTGTAAATCATCTTTATTTTGATCATATTTATGTAATTATTTCATACAAGAGTTTTTTATAAAAATATTACTAAAATAAAACATATTTACATAAATATGTTTATTCATTACTGCAATGTGGTGTTGTGGTAACTTAAGCTCAAAATTTAAACATGAATTACTATGATTTCATTACTACTCTAGTCATTAGTCATATTTTTGTAAATCATCTTTATTTTGATCATATTTATGTAATTATTTCATACAAAGTTTTTTATAAAAATATTACTAAAATAAAACATATTTACATAAATATGACTATTCATTACTGCAATGTGGTGTTGTGGTAACTTAAGCTCAAAATTTAAACATGAATTACTATGATTTCATTACTACTCTAGTCATTAGTCATATTTTTGTAAATCATCTTTATTTTGATCATATTTATGTAATTATTTCATACAAGAGTTTTTTATAAAAATATTACTAAAATAAAACATATTTACATAAATATGTTTATTCATTACTGCAATGTGGTGTTGTGGTAACTTAAGCTCAAAATTTAAACATGAATTACTATGATTTCATTACTACTCTAGTCATTAGTCATATTTTTGTAAATCATCTTTATTTTGATCATATTTATGTAATTATTTCATACAAAGTTTTTTATAAAAATATTACTAAAATAAAACATATTTACATAAATATGACTATTCATTACTGCAATGTGGTGTTGTGGTAACTTAAGCTCAAAATTTAAACATGAATTACTATGATTTCATTACTACTCTAGTCATTAGTCATATTTTTGTAAATCATCTTTATTTTGATCATATTTATGTAATTATTTCATACAAGAGTTTTTTATAAAAATATTACTAAAATAAAACATATTTACATAAATATGACTATTCATTCATCAAAGGGTTGAAGAAATACAGCGGAAGTCTAAAAGGGAAATGAGTGTTACCGCCACATTCGGTCATCTCTTAACCGAATGCACAGGCAACTCAAAGTAAAACAATAAAAACTAATGTAATAATAAGTAAGTGTTTGTTTTATGACTAGATTTAACTAAGACATCTTCTATTTCGCACTCAAGCTCGAGCAATCCGTCAATCCACATAGGTATCCAACTCATCCCTTTTAGACTTCCGCTGTATTTCTTCAACCCTTTGATCATATTTATGTAATTATTTCATACAAAAATACCCGTATACAAATTAAATTAAAAATTAAATGAAAGAGGGGAAAACTCTTTGTGCGTCCCTCCTCTCTCGCTAGCCAGGCAAGCAAGCTTCGTCGCAGTAAACGCAAGCCGCCGCCGGTCACATCACCAATTTTCCGATCATTAAACGCCGTCCCCAATTTGCCTACAAAGGAGAGACGGCTGTAACTAAAGTCAAGTTAGATAATCCCTACACACTCCATGGCTTCTATCTCTTCCCAGATTTGCCTACAGAAGCTTGGTCGCAAAAGCTTGAACGTCTGGATGCAGGAAGCCAGGAAATGTAGAAGCAGGGGTAAAGGGTAGTTTGGTTAACTAAATAAATGTAGTGTTATAATTATCCTAAAGTTTGAGTTATTCACAAAAAAACCAACAAGCTCATAAAAACATCTGAGTTTAATGCATCAAACTCACTCGTGATATAGAAATTCAGCGTATTAATCTCTTTGATTTGAAAAATGTGTCAAACCCCTTTGTGTTTTAATTAAGGAAAAATTCATATTAATAATCCCAACTATTAGTAGTCTTCTTATATTAATCCCAATTATGGATAATTCAAAAATAATCTAAGGTATAAGGTATATCTTCTCATTTTGAACCGATGACCCGCATAAACTCATTCAGCAGGTCACCTAACCACGTGGCTTTTTTTAATTGGACTATCTATTTGTTCACTTTTCTTTTTATTTCTTTTTCTTTTCTTTACCCTTTTTCTCTGTCCCCACCCCGCTCGTTCTTCTTTCTCTCCCCCTCCCTTCGAGTCTGCTCCGTCTTTGACTCTTTGGTGAGTGCAAAGTGCTTCTTCTTCTTTTCTTTTCCAGAGAGTCTCTCTTCCAGCGAGTCTCTCCAGACCTCCTTCATCTCTCCCCCAGACAGCAAGACCCCCTCCCTTAGTGAGTCTGCTCCGTTCTCCGGTACCTTCACCTTCTTTTTCCCTTCCACCGGAGTCTCCTTTCTTTCTCCACTTAACTTTGTATTCTTCTTTTGGTAAACTCAAGCTTTGGTAAGCCCTGTAATGTAGTCCTTGTATTCGAGCTCTGGTCATGAGGAAGAAATAATTTGATTTTTTTTTGTTTCTAGTCGGCTAGTTGCCGGAACTTGCTAGGTGCTTCCCTAGGGAAGACCGATGAAGTAATGGATTCACTGCTCCTGTGATGGTTGTGCTTTATTTTCGTCCATCAATTGCATCTGGTGAAGAAGCTAAACAAATGAAATTATGAAAATGATGGAAAACTCAAGACGCTATGGCTATGGCTGTTATGAATACGTATTAAAGAAATAGAAAAGCAAAGCAAACGGGGGATGACCGCTGAAGGCGTAGATCAATGGCGTAATAGGCTAATAGCCTTCCGGATCACGCGTTTCTCCCTCTCTGTCTCTTCTTTTTATTTTTATTTTTTATGTTTTACCTGTTTAGTAGGTAACCGATCAACTGGGATCAAAATGAGAAGACCACATGTGAACTTCGGGTTATTATGGAATTATGCATTTTTGGGATTAATTTGAGAAGAATGCTAATAGTTGGGATTATTCGTGTGAATTTTTCCTTTAATTAATCATGCACATAACCCTTTTTATGAATAAATTTTATGATTTGGAAATCACGTTTCCTAATATTCTGATTGAATATGCAAGTAAATATGTCAAAATCTCTAAGTCATACAAAAATGTTAATCATTTTTCTTTTATTTCACAATTGAATTTGTTCATAGAAGGGATTTTGTGCATAATTAATTAAAACACAAGGGAGTTTGACACATTTTTTAAATCACAGGGGGCTAATGCGCCGAATTTCTATATCACATGGGGGTTTGGTACATTAAACCCAAAAACATCTTCATACATACTTTTAACTTTTGCTTACCGGGTGGCTTAGCTCAACTGGTAGCAGTAGTGCCACAAGGGTTAGGTCCCGTGTTCAAATCCTGGCAACTGCGATGAGAGGTTAATATGTTAAAAATGCATAGGGCCTCCGCAAGTACCGGGACAGAGCCTCACTCTCTATCTGTTAGATTGGGATTATAGTCCAATTTACATCCTCCCAATGTACCGTCCGGTCTGGGTTGGGGGGGCCTCAGGGATGGGATGTCATCCTTTTTTTAACTTTTAGCTTAAAAGTACTTTAAATTAAGTTAAAAGCTCAGAGTTGCAAACACTTATTTAGCTCATTTTAGGGAAAATTTTGAAAAGCACTTTTATTAAGTGTTTGCAAACACTACCTAAAACAATCATAAAATTTCAAAATAG